GGCAGGAAGTACTGGACCCCTGTGCCCAATCCTGTGTAAACTCTACTGAGTGCAGGAAGGGACCCATGGAGCTGGGAGTATTCATGACCATCTCAGGTGTCTTTTCGAGAAGCCGATGCAAAAAAATCTTTATACCTTATTGTGTCTTCTTAAAATAAGAAACTGATATGTGCATTTGTTTCAATAAGAATATGAATATTATAATTAACCATATTTCTGTTTTTTCATTGGCTCTAGGAAGGTCATATCCAAAGTTTCAAACCAATCATCATTTTTACTCCCCCCAATTTATAACTATAGCTGATCATATTCCTTTCTCTACTTGTTTTCATGTTTCCTGACCCTGATTCTTTTTGTTTTTCTGTTTTATTGTATGGCACACCTTTTTGTATCTCAAATTGTATATGGAAAAAGGAAGGGAACAATAATAGCTAGTTCGGTAGAGAGATTACTGACCTATGCAAGTAGATAATCTCTCTCTTTTTTTTTTTTTTTTTTTTTTTTAGAGACAGAGTCTCACTTTATCACCCTGGGTAGAGCTCTGTGGCATCACAACTCACAGCAACCTCCAACTCCTGGGCTTAGGTGATTCTCCCGCCTTAACCTCCCAAGCAGCTGGGACCACAGGCGCCTGCCACAACGCCTGGCTATTTTCTGTTGTTGTTGTTGCAGTTTGGCCGGGGCCAGGTTTGAACCTGCTACCCTCGGTATATGGGGCTGGCGCCCTAACCACTGAGCCACTGATGACGGCCGAGATACTATCTTTCATACAAATGCAGAGATATGAAAACAAGGAGTGTCTATGCTGTGTGATTTCATTCATACAATGTCGAAACAGAGTCAGAACCCATCTGTAGTGCTAGTGGGTATACACAGGAATGGTAACATTCTAACGGAAAGCAAATAAAAGTATACCATAAAAATCAAAAAGTGGTTACCTTTTACCAAGGAAAGAGTGAGTAGGAATAGGAAGTAGTACAAAGGGGTCTTCTTCTTTATTCAGATAATTGCTAAAAGGGCCTGCTCTTTATAAAAGTTCTTTGACCTATATACATAGGTTGTATATTCTTTTTAGTCCATGTATTTTACTCCACAAAAGGGCTAAAATTACATTTATTTAATCAAATGATAAAAATGAAAACAAATGCTTGCAAAATACCCAAACTAATGCCACTAGGATTTCTAAAAGCTAAAAAATAGAAAAAGAAAAAGAAAAGAAAGAAAGAAAGAAAGAAAGAAATTAGAAAAACGAGCTTATTGCTGGAAGGAACGACATCCAAATTCTAGATGTTAAGAGTGCTGGAAGGATAGACTGGAATAGGATGAAAATGACAGTACCAGCACTAACTAAATCAATGCAGTCATCAAAAATAGAAAGCATGTAAAAAGTTTTGCAAACTTAATTTTACGACAGTATCTATTGATGGTCTGCTATGTGCCAGGCACTGCTCTAGGCACCAGAGACCCAAGGGTGAAGCAGTGCACACAACACATGGTCTCTTTCTCACGAAGCTTACACCCCGGAGAAAGGGAGCAAGAAGGAGGAGGGGACCAGTGACAGGCAAAAAGATATGTAGATAGATGAGAACAAGCATTCCAGCAGGAGGAAACGGCTTATATAAATCCTCACAGGTGGGAAGAGTCTGGCATACTTGAAAAACCGAGAGGTCCTTGAGTCTGGAACACAGTTGGAAAAGAGCGACATCTCATCAGATGAAGTCAGAGTAGGCGGAGGAGAGGGGATGTTGTGGTTTATAAGGGTAAAGGTAGGGTGCCTGGGTTGCAAACAGGGGACTGGCATGACCTGACTTATATTTTTAAAGGCCATTCTGACTACTCCATAGGCAATGGATTTTACGGAGGAACCAGGGCGATGCTCAGGCAGCTGTCACAATAGTCAAGGAAGGACAGAATGGTGGCTTGGACTGGGTCACTGTCCCAGTGGTGACCAGGAAAACATGGTTGGATGCAGGTTATGTTCTACATGGAGGGTCAGCAGGACCTGCTGACGGATCAGCGTGGGGCAGAAGGTAAAGGGAAGAATCAAGCATTACTCCTACATTGTTGCCGTCTACCTAAGTGTGGAAACTAGAATGAACACATGTTTGGAGGTACGTGGGGACTAACAGGTTGGGTTCCGCTGTGTTCATGGTAAGCTGGTGGTTCTAGTTAAGTACACATGTGAAGATGTCACAGGGGCATTGGATATATTGTCTGGAACTCTAAAAAGAGGTCATAGTTGGAGATACACAGTCATAACCTGTGCATGATATTAAAGTCTTGGAACTAAATGAAGTGACCTAAAAATAGCATATAGAAAAAAAATGTCCCAGGACACATTCTAGGGCACTCCAATACTTAGAAACTGAGCAAAGGAAAAGGAGCTAACAGGCAAGACTAAGGAAGAGGAGGCCCAACCTTTTGCACAGTAAGGAACACACTGAAAATGACACTTTATTTTTTCAGCACATGAGGCTAAGAGGCATACACAGGGTCTTCCTCAAGATCTCAGGGGATCAATACCTTGACCCACTTGAAATCTATTTATAGTTTGCCAGCATGCCTCAACATGACATTTTCTGGGATATAACCATGGGAATAATAAGGAAAAGACAATCAAATTAACGAATTACTTAGCTCCTAGAGAATTCTTACTTCTTTGGTACAAAGTTTATAATACTGTATTCTTCACTGAGGTCTCATTATGATGCTTTGAAAGACTCTTCCAAGTCTGAACTATAAATATCTAGTCTTCTGACATCTAAAAACAGACATTTTATAAAAATTCCTTATGGCAAAGGTGTGCATTAAATGTTTGCATTCTTTTAATGTATTAGAGAAATACATAAATATGCATTCTAGAAAAGTTCCAATGAGTGATTATTTAGAGCATGCCAAAGTACAAACTAACAGTATAGCTAACTTATAAAGGGAACCCTTTAGAAAAAGAACTATTCGTGTTATGATAAAAAATGCTGAAATTACTCATAGACATGTAGAAAACAAGTTTGTTTCTAGGCCTGATGTCAATACATGATTGAGAAACTAGAATATCTAAAATTGAATTCAGTGAAAACAAAAAAATTGGACTTAATAATTTTTTTTTCATATTTACTAAGGATTTAGGAGCTTTATAAAATTGGCCCATTGTCCAAAAATACTTTTTACCACTGAACATTTGAATACTTCTTTAAAGTCAGACTCCTCAGGTCATCATTCCTTAGTTCTTTCTAGCCAGAACTATTCAGAGATGTTCCATCTACAGACAGACAGACAGACAGACAGACACACACACACACACGCTTTGGCCAAAGGTCTGCAGAGCCCTCTTTCCCCCATAATAAGCCATCTACGTTTTCTGCCTCCCAGAGTTTAGTGGATTTCTTATCTTGAGACAGCACCATACCGACAGTCTTCACAGGTAAAGACTCTCCAACCTCTCAACTCCCAAGTGACAAGGAAGTGATGTCCCCATTCTGCCAGCTTCCCAATGCCATGTCAAGCCTAACCTTATAAAAAAAAAAAAAAACCCTCTGATTTTCTTAAAACGAAACCCTTTACCCTAGCTCTATTTCCTGGGAGCTCTGCAAACTAATCCCAAGGTTATTGGCAAAAGGGTCTGCACCCCTTCTCATTCCCTAAATCTGAATATCATCATCATCAACAATAGTCCTATTTACTAAGGATTCAGGAGCTTTTAAGAAAGCTCTATCTCTGGGCCGGCATATTACAGTCTCACATTATTTCACTATTTATAGAAAATCATGATGAGGAGCTGTTCAGTGACTACATTTTTCTCTGACTAAAGAACACACGTTTTTAAAACATGAACCAAATATCTTTGTTTACAAGATATTGAAAAAAGTATCCTCTAGTGCTTGCCTGCACCACACATCTGACTGTCTCTCAGCTGAGACCCCCAGTTAACTTTCTTTTCATTCTCCTCTGTCACAAAAATAAATGACTGGGCTTACTTGGTTAACTGGAGGGCACAGTTTCCTATAGACTATTTTTCCAGACAACCATTGCCACAGAACTATTTAAGGCATGTTTACTGAGGTTATCAGTTCTAACACCTCATGGACCTTTTCCCCTCCAAATTCTGGTAGAAACCAAGGAAGGGAAGAAAGTAAAGGGTCCTCAAATAGTAGAGTCAAAAGATTTCTGGTCTTTGTTTTTTAGTTCTTCCAGTCTGCTCATTACTGCTTTTCATTTTCCTGTGTTAAACACTTCTGAGAAATATCTATGTCTACCATGTTTGAAATGAATTGCTGAAACTGAAAAAAAAAAAAGCTGTATACAAAAACCAAAGCCATGACCTATAGGGTCAAAGTACTGAGTTTTTGTGGTAATTTTGTAGCACCAGTCAACTGATAATTTTTAGCTTAAAAACTAATCTTGGAAGCAGGGGGCTCCACTGCTGGAGATGGAGAGATCAGTTGAATAATTAATGACAGTGTGCCCAGGACCCGAGGGCTTAAAATGGGCCAAGTAAAAGATGAAATGTGTTACAAGATGGGGGGGGGTACCCTGGGACAAAGGCGGTGACATCTGCCTATGAAAAGCCTGACACAATGTCACCCAAATGGAAGGTATTATATAAACCGAGCATGTAAAAGTATCAGGAGATATTTCGATGTGGGCATGTGGAACTGTGGTCCACATTCGCTCCGTCTCGGGGCAGGCATCACCTCTGGAAGCTATTAAAGCAGCCAGAGGAGCCATTCCAGCTCCCCAACTGAGGGCCAGCCGTCCCATTTAATATTCTTGTCTAGTGAAACAGCAAAGGCCCTTCGTGCCTGTTTTTAAATGCACATTTTTAATATTCAATGTGGTGCTACTCTTTAACAAACTCTTTACTCCCTGCCTCTCTGATGAAGCTTCCCGTGGTCTTTAAAGGGATTGTTAACCCAAGAATGGATCGCACTCTTTCTACATGAGCAGGCTGAGAGACACTCCATTAAGCCCTCCAGTATTTAACAGAAGGAGCCATCTCTCACCTCTGAGGAGCTGAGCCAGCTGCTCGGTGATGAGCTCAGGAGCCTCCTGGAGAATCTCTTTCAGCACGAGGGAAGAGGAAGACTCTCGGAACTCAAACCTGGCGTCACTCTGCTCAAGAGGATTAATGACTTTGACAACTGCTGATTCCAAAGTTTTGTCATCACTGTAAAGCAAACGGAGGAGAGGAAGACAAAGAGATGTGTCATGTTTTTCTGACTTTGTGGAATTATTTAAGCTCTGCTCTCTCACAAGAGATGTCCTCTCAGGAGTCAAAAGTATAGTGAACACACGACTCAGATGAATAGAACCTTATTCTATGTGTTTCCACATTTCATGTTAACTACTTTCTCTTCCCCAAGATTCTTAAAAGACCCTAAAACATCTTAGCAGCTTTCTCTCTCTCTTCTTACACTTTGAAAAACAATCATCATAACTCACATTTATTGACCTTCTACCATAGGCCAGACACTGGTGTAAATGCTTTAGGTGTACGGTTATATTTTATGCCATAAAATAACCTCATAAAACGAGGTGCCACTAGAACCTCTATTTTACAAATGGGGAAACTGAGGCGCAATGAGGGTAAGAAATTTGTCCAGCGTCACACAGGTAGTGAGTAGTAGACGAGGTGGAATCGAAACTCTGATAATGTGGCTCCAAAGCTTTCAGGTCCGGTCACTGTGGCATAGAACAAATACTTCTGGTTTTATTTGCTTTAAGAATTATGCTTTGTATTCAAGATAGAGTTGGATTTTACCAAAGGCAGGAGGAGAGGGATGGATAAAACTAACTTTATTCTTGCTGCCTGTCAAAAACAAATCAGTGACAATGAAGGAAATAAAGACCTCAATTCATGTCTAAAAAGCATTCTGTTTCATCAGCAGTCCCAAAGCCAGAGCTCACGACTTCAGGCTCAAAACCAGCATATACTTTGCCATTTTCACCGGTTCACTCTTCCCCAGAATTTGACACACACACATTCCATAGTTCACTCCTTTGGCTTCTCTCATTGTCTTTTTCTGTGCATTAATTGGTTTGAAAAAGTTAACACACAAATTGAGTCCTGAATACCAACAATTGAAGTCAGTCAAATGAACCACCAAACCCTTTGAGCAACTTGTCAATGATTCATAAAGATAATTCAGAATTTCATTTGTTTCAAACAGTATGGAGAGAAAAACAGACCCCTCTGTGCAGGTTATTTTCAGAATTCTTTGTAATCAAATGAACTGCATGAGTGACATTACCACATATTCTAAATAAGTTTTTATTTCACGTATACTGAGATTGACATCCTGGTCATCACAGGTAGCAAATTGACAAACTGTACAAAACACTTGCGTCTCAGACTACCGCAGTGTTTAACTGGTGACTCGTCATTCAGTAGCAGTAGAGAACGTATCATGGGACATCTCCGCAAGGCCCTTGACTGCAGAGGATTTGTCTCATTCCTTTTTATGGGCCTTTGAAGTCTTGCACCAGTTATACTCTTCAGTATCTGGCCTATAGTAAAAGCTCAATAAATGTCAGCTATCATTATTGTTTTCCAAAGTGGAACAAGAGATAAAGCTGCTAAATATTGAAGGAGGTAGAAGACGCAGGTTCTAACCCCAACCCTTCTAACTGCATGTGGTACTTTAAGCAGGTCATTTACAACTCTGAATTTCAGGTTTGCTGTCCATAAAGTAAGAGATTTAAACTATATGAACATTCTCTTACAGTATAAAATGCTGGGAATGAACAAACTAATGATTAAGTGATGCTGATGATCATCTCTCTATATTATTCCATTTCACTACTAAGATTTCATTCTTGAGAATTATTCAAGTTTGGCTTGCTGCCCATAGCATAGTGGTTACGGCACCAGCCACATACACAGAGGTTGGCAGGTTCCAACCCAGCCCAGGCCAGCTAAACAACAATGACAACTGCAACAAAAAATAGTCGGGCATTGTGGTAGGCACCTGTAGTCCCAGCTACTTGGGAGGCTGAGGCAAGAGAAT